GAGACCGTAGCAAGTTCGACAACTGGACACTCCAAGTGGAGCTGTACCTTCGCTTCAATCCCCAGAACAAAGAGGATGCAGCCTTGCTGGCTGCAATGCACCTCAGGGGCAGAGCGGAACAATGGGTCAAGAAGTTCCTCAAGCTTAAACTCGAAGGCATAGAGCAGACCGGGATCCTAGACAATTGGCCCAACTTCAAGCATGCCTGTAGACAAATCTTTGGGAATACGACCGAGGCAATCGACGCCGCGCGCTACTGTTACGATCACACGACCGTGCCGCCTCAGGCACATGATCCCTCCACAGAACCCTAATCACGTGACTAAGCCAACAGAACAGACGGAGCAGGCTTCGCTCTGTTGGCTCTGCTACAACAGAACAAGCAGCATCAACTGCGTTCTGTTAGTACTACCTGTAGTAGGCATTTCCCTTTGTATGTAAGAAGACACACATATATAGGTAGGACGAGCTGACCTTATGTCGGCTCGTGTTGAACTCATGTTACTAACCTAGCTATTGAAATCAAAGACCCTTTCCTGCTCCTACCTCGCTACTTATTCTCAAGAAGCTACCTCGAGTAAACTACCCTTTGGCAGTTGACCCGTAACAGCTACATCCAGCAACTCAAGCAGACAGGGTTCGTTCGGGACTATGCAGCAAGGTTCTAGGAACTCGCTGTAGTACTTGACTAAGGCGACGCTGCGCTCGCCGAGATGTTCCGTAAGGGACTCAAGAGCGAGGTCAAAGATGAACTTATGCGATAGGGCCTAAGGATCGATGAGCTCGGACCGCTCGTCGAGTTAGCTTGCACTATTAGAGATCGACTCTACGAGAGATCTATCGAACGCAAGTATAAAAACAAGACAGGAGCCATCCCGATGTATCGCAATATACTAAACATCGGACGCTTTAGAATGCGACCCCGCGACCCCGACGCGATGGAAATCGACAACCTCTAGAAGAAACCGATAACTAACGGAAAGAAAATGACCTGTTACGCCTGTAGAAAGATCGGGCATATCTCTAAGGACTGCCGATCGAAGAACAAGGTAAACAGGGGAACAATTAACAACTCTGAGAAAAACGTTACGTGCTACTTATGCGGCAGGCCCGGGCACTACTCGAAAGAATGTCCCAACAAGAATCACCGACAAATAAATAGTACTGAGAAACACGAAGACGACCCTCAAGGAAAACAAACTGGGCACGAGAACCTTAGCTGGACCGGTTGCTACGATGACTCTTGTGTGATTCACTTTATAGATAAGAGCGGAGCCGGATAGTTTCCCCAGAAACCTAAAAACAAAAGGAAGGTTAGTATCCGTAACTATCCTGAGGTCCCAACTAGGAAAGGACCACCGAAACGATATTAGAGCCCAGCGCCTAGATACGTGAAAATATACGAAGAAGTCGAGAAGAAAGAAGTATACGCTACGAGACATAAGCAGGACGGAGTCTTTCAATCACTCGTTCATATGAATCACAGCCCCACTATAGCCCTAATCGATACAGGAGCTAGCGCAAGCTTTATTTCAGCCGACTTAGTATAGAGACTTGGGATCGCTACCTAACGAAAGAAGCACGCATACCAATTGACCGCTATTGACGGCGCCGAATTACCCACGGTTACCTATAAGACGGTACTAGTAAAGTTGCATATTGACCAGCTGTAGCAGGAAACCCGATTTGATGTCTTAAACAACACAAGGCATAAAATCGTACTCGGATTTCCATAGTTGATAATGAACAAGCCAAGTGTGAATTAGTAGAAGAGAAAACTTGAATTCAAGAATAACAAACCCGCGATAACGGAAGATCGATACAAGATACAGGTACTCGATACGACAACTATAAAGAAGATGGTTCGACAGATCAATAATGCTGCAGAAGTAGAGACGGGAATGACGATTCCCTAAGAATATTAATAGTAGAAGGTCCTGTTCGAGGAAGGAAGCTATATAAAGAAACTTCCACCTTACAGACCTTGGGACCACGAAATCAAGCTGGAACCGGGTAAGACGCTACCCTTTATACGCATCCGATACAAATCCGAAGACTACCTCAAAGCAGAGAAGGAATAGTTAGACGAGATGCTTAAGAAAGGCTGGGTCAGACTATCCAAATCCCTAGCAGGAGCACTATATATAGCGGTACTAAAGAAGAATAGAAAGATTCGGATCGTTACAGATTATAGACGACTCAACGAAATCACTATCAAGGACCGCTACCTATTACCAAACATCGGTAAGCTACACGACCGATTGAACGGATCTAAATGGTTCACCAAAATCGACCTCAGAGACGCATTCTACTCAATTAGAATAAAAGAAGGCGAAGAATGGAAGACAGCGTTCCTTACGTCGAGAGGACTCTATGAGTTTCTCGTAATGCTAATGGGACTTACAAACGCCCCAGCAACACAATAAAGATGTATTAACGACCTCCTCCGAGACCTTCTCGACATTACCGTTGTCGCCTACGTAGACGACATCCTCATCTTTACGAAAGGAGACAAGGAACAACACGTTAAGGACGTTCAGGAAGTCTTCAAAAAACTCTCTAAGTCCGACTTCCGAACCGCGCCAGAGAAATGCGAATTCTACAAACAAGAAGTCGAGTTCCTAGGAAACATTATAAGTACAGAAGGCTTCCGACCGGACCCAAAGAAGACACAATCGATTACTAATTAGCCAACCCCGACTACCGTTAAGGAAGTACAAGCCTTCCTCGGCCTGGCCAATTACAACCGAAAGTTCATCCAGGGATTTTCCGCGATCGCAGCACCGCTTACGGAGCTAACCAAGAAGAACCATGCCTACCAATGGACCGAAGCGTGTCAAACGGCTTTCGATTCAGTTAAACAACGAATAGCGAACGCCGGCGAACTCAAGATGTTCGACCCAGAAATCCCGATTCAGATCGAGACCGACGCTTCGGACCTCGCGATAGGAGCATGCCTTACGCAGGAACACAATGGAACCAGAATGCCTATCGCATACTACTCAAGAAAAATGGGACCAGCAGAACAAAATTATGATATACACGACAAAGAGCTACTAGCAGTCGTTGTTGCCTTATAGCAATAGCGGATCTACGTGGCAAGTGCGCCTGAATGCACGGTATTTACTGATCACAAAAACCTGCTCACGTTCACTACCACGAAGGAGCTCAACAGACGACAGGTCCGGTGGGCCGAGCTCCTTGGACAATACAAGTTCAAGATTTGCTACACGCTAGGCAAAGACAACGGCCGCGCAGACGCCCTCAGCAGGAGGAGCGATTACATAAAGGAGAAGGCAATATTCAATCAAAGCATACTACGACGAAATGTTGATGGGAGCCTCTCGCCAAACGTACACGAAATCAAT